ACAAAGGGGAGATATATATATGTATATATATACACATACATATATATACATATATGGCTCCTTACCTTTTAAAAAAAAAAAGATTGAGAGTTTGAAGAGGCAGAAGGAAAAGAGATTGGAGTGACTGGGAACTTTATGAATGAACGATGTCCACAGTGTGGTAGGAAGTCTTAGTGCGTTTATGACAGTGCAATTGCTCCCTCCCCCATAGCCTCACACAAAAATAAAATGAAAACTTCAACTCAATACCTGTTTTATTCCTCAGTGCTCCTCGGAGCTAGATTTGTTTTGTTTTTCCGTGTATGATGCTGGGCTGAAAGCGGTTTTGAATTGGAAGCAAGAAAGCCTCATGTTATTTGGATTGAATTATTACGATTGAAAGTGAGCCCAGTATAGCTTTTTTCAGTACATTTGGTGTTTGAAGTCATTGACATCAGTGCTTATTAATTGTGGTCAGAGGCTTTAAAGGCTTTTGGGTTGCCAGGTTCTTGTTACTTATTTTATGAAAGTGGCCTCATGGGCAACATCTCCTAGAGGCGAGTCAAATCCTGCTCCCGGGATTAAGTTATAAAGTGAGTGCATAAAGCAAAAGTTACATGTAGTCAAAATTTCCATTAAAAATACCGTAATTCATCCCTCAAATACTCATTCGGCCATTGACAGAGATTAAACCAATACATTTCTTGCTGCTGATGTGTGTCAGCAGGAGTTCCTCAGCAGTGAGCACAGCTCCCCAGCAGTTATTTAAGCAGCACTGAACACACATACAGGCCAATGTCAAGTCTCACCTCCATGTGCATTATGGCCCAGTGAGGAGGCAGAGAATAATTCCACGAGCAAGTACATAAAATTACATCAGATCGTTTTAAGTGCAGTGGAGACAAAGAGGGGAGGAGGAGAGGCAGAGAACGGATGTCATGAAGATCACAGACGTGTGCAAACAAGGCACCTGCCAGCGGTGGGGCATCTGAATCCTGAACTGCAGCAAAAGATGTCAGAGTGGTGTGAGTTTCTGAAGAATCGCTGTGTAGTGAAACAGACTGGCTCGAATTAGGTTTGTGAGAAATTATAATACACTGGAGGCCTGATGCACGAAATTTGTGCAAGAGTAGGCCTTCCTTCCCGCAGGTGCCGGCACCGGCTTCCCTCTGGCACCCGGGACCCGGACTTCCCTATGGCCACCGGCAGGCACCCGGGACCCAGGCTTCCCTCGCAGCCCTGGCTTTGTCTGGAAAGACATTCAGGCAAGTTAGCATATTACACTTTTATTATTATAGGTGATAGAGAACTGGAAGTCTAAAAGCTAAGTCGATGCAGAAAAACTCATGATTAAAGACTTTTCCTTAAAATCGAAGGGGAAACCATGAGAAGATTTAGAGCAGATTCTGTGGAGGAACTTTAGTCCAGCGGTCGCCAGCTGGTGATCCACAGAACACCCGAAAGGTTGGCGACCGGCTTTAGACT